TCTCTCTCTCACACACACACACACAAACTACACACTAAATGCCAAAGACTTCCTAATCAGTACCAGTTCCTAATTAACCAAAATAAAAATAAATTAATAATAACAATAAACACCAGTACTAAACTAAAACACTAAAATTAATAACCTGATCTAAACCCTAACCTTCTTCATCATCATCTTCTTCATCTTCATCATCATCCAACTCACCTGCCACTTGAACACCACGACGACCATATTGAACAGCACCGTACGAGGAGGTGTACAAATTCTCAGTGTGGGGTGCATGCCCCTGCCCGAACGCGCGCACGTGGTCCTTCAACGATCTCTTGTGCTTGAAATCGGAGCCGCAGATGCAGAACCACAGCTTCCCGCAGTTCTTCTCGTGCGTCCGCCAATCGCCGCGCACGGCGAACGGCTTGCTGCACTTGCGGCACTCGAACGGCTTCGCCCCGTGCTTGCGTTTGTAGTGCGTCTGTAGTGTCCGGAAATCCTTCAACGGCTTCGATCTCGGATGCTCTATGTTGTTCTTACAACCCTCCGCGCAGCAGTAACACGGCAGCCTCAGAATTGACGAAGCCGGCTTTGTGCCCCGAAGAGATTCCGGCCCTTTTCGGTATTCCGATCCGTGCCCCCACATATGCATCTAAAGATCATATATACAGTAAATTAATAACCTCGTTTAAATAATAGTTTCTTCTGGTCTCAAACTCGGTAAAAACCTAATGAATTATTTGTTCGATAATTTAATATTTCGCTAAATTAATAAAATTTTGTTAGTACCAACTGTATTAATTTATACAGATTTAACTATATATATATATTGATCATGCAAGTTAAATAAGATTAGGTGTCAGTGAAAATTAATGAGAATGCATAAATTAAATTTAATTTCTTGATTTTTGAGTATTATGGGGGAATGAATGAATGTTGGTTATGAGTATTGAAAGCTGGAATTGCCAAAAGGAGGAGTGAAAGCATGTTTTTCTACTTGTTTTATTTCTAGGTGAACCAAAATAGAACATGGTTTAATTATAATCTCAGACAGAAATTCCGGACACCATTGTTAAAGAAAATCACGACAGATTTATAAACCCTAAATAAATTTATACTCGGCCGGATGAAGAAAATAAATGAAAAATTAATTAATTGTATACCTGCATGTTGTTGTATCTGTTGAAAGTTTTGGTGCAAACAGAACAAGAAAACTGGGTAGGGCCGACAAGGATTTGAGATGGGGTTGGAATCCAATATTGCCCTAAGTGTCCCACTCCGACGCCACTGCTAGGGTTTTCTTTTGCTACGGCCGCCGCCGCTGAAGGTGATGCAGATTCTGTACTACTCGGCGGAGGCCCAATATGAAGAGCCACCGTCACACCATTTTGACCTCCACCGCCGCCGCCACTACTATTAGGGTTTCTCTGCAGGTTCTGGCTCTGGCCTTGGCGCCGCTGCTTGAAGCTATGGTGGTGGTGGTTTTGCTGGCTGCGGTGGTGTAGCTGTTGGCCAGGTGGGCCCAGAGAGAGCAAGGTTGACCAGTCGCCGTCATCTTCTTCTTCTTCATCATCGCAGCTGGTAGATACGCAGTATGGTAGAGAAATTCGAGTATGCATGGTGATTTTATAATCTGGAGTTTCAGACAGTGTTTATAAACAAAATGTTAATACATAGGATTTTGTGGGAGCTAAGGCGTAGGGATTTAAGGATGTTGGAATGTGGGGAATTCATCAATTGACCAGTTCATCATCATGCCCCAGTTTTTGTATCTATCTATCTACCTATGTATGTATGTATAGAAACATTAAAATTACACACTCAGTGTGTGTGTGTGTGTGCACGTAGGTGGTGGTAGAGAGAGAGAGAGAGAGAGATAGATGAAGAACAGTGTGTATATATGTTGGGATATAAGTTTTGGCGTTTAATGAGTGTGGAGGAGACAAGGGATAGGCAGAAAGGAGGAGAAAGTGGGGAAGAAAAATTGCGTAGAATCGTGTACCAAACACTTCATTATTATTATTTTTTGGCTCTCACTTAACTCACTTATATTTCTCATTTTCCCAAACATATCTATTTCTACCCCTTGTCATTTCATTTTCTTTTTACCCCTCTCTCTCTCTCTCTCTCTCTCTCTCTCTCTCTCTCTCTCTCTCTCCCTCTCTCTCTCTCTCTCTCTGGGATACACATATATGTATGTGTAATATTATAATTCCAGTTTTGTAAATAAAGAAGAAAGTGATAGAGATGTGTTTGTTGGAAGATGTTAACTATACTGGATGATGTATTATTACAGTCGATGATGTCATCTTTACATCATCACATCAAAGTTGAACCCCCATGTGATTTTTCTTCTTTTTTCTTCTTAAACAAGGACAACCTCCTGCCATGCTCTCACTACATCACAAAAATTATATATATATTTGTGATTTTGTTTACCATAAGACTTGATCACTGTCTAAATTATTCTTAATTAAAACAGTTCATTATATAGTAGTTAAATCTAAACAACTTTTTTTTAAGGATAAAAAAGAAAGCCTTGTAAGAAAAAGATTCTGATTTAATCGTACTTTAATTTGTCATTAATCAGAGATCATGCATGTATGGCTGGCTACTTTATTACCATGATATGACAGTTTATAAGTTTAACAAAAAAAACAAAAAACAACTACTGATCATGTGTCTAACAGTAAGTGCAACAGAGAAATTAGGGATATATGATGATTTGGAGAAGTGCCCCTTTACGGTGCAAGAAGGGTTCGTGCTAGGACACTAGGTGTCGAACGATGGCCTTGAAGTTGATCGCCAAAGATTAAAATCCTTGATCGACGACTTCCACCAACCATACCGGTAAAGGCGATTTATCAAAGATTTCTCGAAAGTTGCCGAGCAATATTGTTCAACTTTGCTCGAAAAAAGATGTCAAATTTGACTTTAATTGTGAGTGTCATTAAAGCTTTCTACGGGCTTAAATAATGTTAGTTTTCGCTCCTTTTATCATTGTGTCTAATTGGGATGAACCTTTTGAGTTTATGCACGATGCAAGTGATTATGTTGCAGGAGCCGCTTTGGGTCAAAGAAAGAATATTTTCTTTTATAGCAAATTATTTTTTGCTCGAGAATTCACCATAAGGCTTGAAACGAAGCATCTAATAACTTAGCAATGAGTTTGAAAATTGAAACAATTGTTTTGGTAGTGGTTAATTTCAAATTGGTCAATGTAAGTTCCAAACCTTTTTTATTCTGAGTAAGTTTGTAGGAGTTAATTGCATAGACCCCCCTGTGTTATTTCTCGGAAGCAAAAAACCCCCCCGGAAAAAAAAAATTAGCATATAACCCCCTATGTTGTGTTTTAGTCAGCCCACCGCCCCTTTGTGTGCACTGGCTCGTTGACTTAAGTTCGGCATCACCGCCGCCTTCTCGCCCGTCTAGCACCACCGCCGCCTTCTGGACCGTCGAGCACCACCGTCGCTCTCTGGCCTGACAAATCTCAAACCCAATCGAGATCCAATTCATCTCTGTCAAAAGCTCCACCCAATTCAAAATAAAACGGGATTTTTCGCAACCTCTAAGGTGGAGTTTGCTCCCGAAGAAAATCGCCGGCACACAAGGCCACTGGAGCCCATCCTCGATTTCCTTACCCTCTGAATCGTGTCGATTTTCTCACCTAATTCAGGGCTGAAATTCTGAGTTGTTGGGGGGAGGAACTGAAGACGCCGCCGTCGTCGTCTCCGTCGAGTACCGACTCGCGCCGGAGAACAAACTCCCCGCCGCCGGAGACATGTTGCAGAAAGAAAGGGGTGGGTCCGGCGGGAAGAGGTGATGGCCGAAGGTGGTGATGGGGGTTTGGTGGTGATGGCGATTTC